ATGTAGTTAGAACACAGGCTGTCGTTTCCTGATTCCCCCAACAGGATTTCTGGTCCCTTACATTTCACCCAGCCCTCAGCCTTTAGGTCGGTCACCACTTTCACGGTTAGGTTGCCTGTCGGGAGACTGTCGTGTGTGATCATGTTTGTGTCGTATGTTATGTCGAGTGTGTGGTGTAAGCCGTCAGGGAAGGCAAAGGACACTGTCGGCAATTGCTCCCAATACACGTTGCCAGCGGCTTTGTACTTGTACGCGGCGCTGCGCTCAACATGCGTAACCTCAACCAGCGGGACCGGGCAGGGCAATCCGTTGGGATTGACCGGAGTGGGAGGATTTGGCATCAGTGGCAAGGCGGGGCAGCTTGCTGTCAAGGGGACCTGCATTGCCCTGTAACATCCCTTGAACTTGAATGGGCTCATCCCCATGTGGTCGTACAGCCAATCGTTCGCACACGTACAGCGCGGCGGATTGTCTAGCCGGGCTCTCTGCGTCCGGGGCGGCGCCCTCCCTTCCAGTGCAATGGCGGCAATCGCATTTCCACACACGATGAGCTTGTTTGGAAATAACGATTTGAACCAATCACCAGACAGGAAGGTCAGCCTGTTTCTCGCCAGATTTACAGAACCCATCAACGTATTTGAGTGAAACGCGCCCGCAGCAATGTGGGAGATTCTGTTACCCTCCAGGTTCAGGGCATGCAGTTGTTCAAGACCGTAGAACATCTCCACGCTGATAGATCGCAGTTTGTTCTCAACTGCGCGGACATATTCTACGGACTTGATCGCCTGCAAGGTCCCCGGTGCTACAGTAGCGATAAGATTGGCACTTACGTCAACCCACCGCGGCTGCACTCCCAGGAACGCGCCGGGCGACAGCGTCAGGATTTGGTTGTCCACAAGGATGAGGAAGGACAACCTGGGCAACCCATGGAAGCAGCCGTCCTGCAGGAAATTATACTTAGTGCTGAGCTTTGTATGAGAACATCAAAATATTGATATAGAAAAATTAACGCATTTCCCTCCTAATCCTTCGAATGGGATATAGGGACTAAAATATAACGACCAAAGAAAACATGTCAAAATTCTACATGTATGTCTGGGAAGAACAATCAACCGGGACTAGAACCAACAAACTATCAGTCAGATTTGAATATATCTTTGACTCAGTCTGGGTTAGCAGGCTCTTACACATAAAAACTAAGGAAGCCCCCTTTTATGTGAAAAAGTTGAAGATATCATCATGAATCTTAGAGACAATAATATGAGGAACTGTGAGAAAGACAATCATGTTAATTCTAAATTCTCACCTCCAGATGTGTTATGTTGTTTTCCAAGAGCATCAGATACTCGAGACCCTCCATCCCAGCAAACGTGCCGTTCTTCAGAGTCTGGACATTGCTCCGCCAGATGACCAGGGTAGATACCTGTGGCAACTTAGCAAACGCCCCTACCTCTATTGCCGTTATGTTACAATCCACAAACCACAACCTGCAATCTCTACCACATGGGATCTGAGAGAGGATCTCTGCCTTGTCAGTGCCAAGCTTGCCGACGTTGTTGCCAACGATCATGATATTGGTTATCGTGTATGGTGAAGGGTTCTGAGTGGGACCCCCCTGGTCAGGCCTTGTTTCCTTTGAGCAGATCTGACAGGATTGATAAGCCTGAAACAAAGGGACAGAGACAAAGGGCCCTTTGTAGCTGGTTACTTCATACGGGTATTTGGTCCACTTGTACCGGTATGCTCCAATGTCATACCGGTACTCACGACCATCACTGCGGCTGTCACCTACACCACACTTCGCTACAGGCACTTCACGGCAGCTCTGCCAGCTACCTGCATCCACAGATGGCACTAGTAGCTGCATAAGCAGCAACAAAGAGATTTTAGCCATCAGCTTTTATCGTCATGATAGAATGTTAACACATCAACGATATCGATAACAATAAGATACAACGGGCTAAAATATCACCATATTTCCCTTACCAGAGGATTTTCCAGAAATGTTACCGTTAGTTCATAATATGCAGATTGTAGGGTGACCTGGACAGCAGAGAAAGTAGCAGTTTTCTCCGTAGTGGCGCAACAGCGGTCTAATTCGAACACGCAGCTTGTTACAGGTTTTGATTGAATATTTTTTTAATGTTTAGGGCTGTTGCCTCGCAACGACGGCATGGTGAAAGAACAGAAGCATTCTTAGCCTAGTTTACAAGCCACATATTTTATGACAAATCTTAAATAGGGACACAAAAATTGACCAAAAGACAAATACATAAATACATTTTTATGGTTTCTCCTCCTCCTTCTCCTGCCATTTGATTGATTCAACTCCTTCATTTTTGGGCCAAAACAATAATAACACTAGAAAGGCCAATATTTGCTTTGGAGCAAATACAGCGATGGGTTCACCACATTTTACGACATGGCAGGGAAAGAATGAGAAACACAAGGGAAAACAATGATTTACATTGATATAACTAATAATATGAAGTAAAATACAACTAAAACAACAGTTGGATAGCTATTCCCTACTTTATTGGTTAGGATTTTTAATTGCATAATGCAAACTGTTGATTTTCAAAATAAAAAAAACGTACCAATAGCCCCGCATTCCAATGCTGGAGCAGGAAAGCTTGAAATACCTACCAAAACACTTGAATACAGACATACTGTCAGTATGGAATGGCTCTGTGCAGGTGTTAATGAAGTTA